TAATATATATAACCTCCAATAATTTGGAAAAATGTCGACCCATTAACCTTACTTATTTCCATTAATATATTCTCCACCTACATTTTACATTGTTTCTCCTTTCCAAGTTGCTCTCCAGTTTCCAATCTTCTTATCATCTTATCCAAATTAGCCTATCCACTATAAATTTAGTATCTATTCCCATTTTTTCAACAATTCTTGTTATATTCTATTTTAATCACTTAGATTTTATAAAATTAAATTACCTTCTTATAATTTCTCCATTACTTGAGGTATATATGCTATTGTTTTAAGTTTTTTGGATTGAAAACTTTTTTTTATAACAAATATATGACCCAAAAACCAATTTATAAATGAAATCCTCGAATATCGGAACTCCTTAAGATAATGAATTTCTTATTTATTATTAAATAATAGCGATAAACGAATTTTATTGCAATCTAATTTTTTATTAGGATTTCAATTCATCGTTTTATTTATTTGTTAATCTTTCTAAATCCTCAAAAAGCCTTTAAAATTGTTTAAACTCAGAAAACAGCTTAATAGATTCTAATTTAAGGTCTATTTTTATTTTCCAATCTTAGTGAATCTTTCTAGTGTTATCAATTAATTAGTTCGAATCAATAAATGTTTCTTAAAGGGATATAACATTATTTAGCTGCTCAAAAAAACTATAAGTAGTTATAGATTCAGTCATGGCTTAAATCCAATCATCAGTAAGCCAAATTAGATGATCAAGTTATTGAATTGATCTTGTTTTCAGGGCTGAAAAATTATTTTTTAAAATTTCAACCTAAAAAACAAAAGGACTTAATAGTGATTCAAGTAGGTTTGGAGTTTCGTTTTATAAATAAATTAATTTCTGTTCTTGTTATGTAGTTAATTTGTCTAAAATATTAATAATCTCTTGATAAAATTTAAACTCAGGGTACTTCTAAAATTGTTCTAATTATTGTTCTAAATAATGATTCATGTGGAAGCTATAATTCTTGTGATTGTTTTTAATCATTTTAATCACCTCTTAAAAATGAATTATTGTTTCTTTTTATTAGGCAGATTAGCCAAAGCCACTATACCTATGAAGTAATTTCACTATTGAGTTAATCCAATCATGTGAAAGCCTAATTAAAACATCGAATAATTGGATTGACCTTTTTCTTGTTGTTGCCAAAATTTTTGAAAATCCTTAAAGTAAACCAATATGAGGGGTAACAATTATTTCAAATTATTTAATTCTTTCCATTTGTTATTCATCAAATAACTTCTTGAGAATGCAATATTCTACAATAGTTAAATTGGGTTGAATATTTTCACAAATTTTGCAAATTAATCTTGTATCATCTGGTATGTTTTAATCTAAGATTACAAACTCTATAAGTTGTGAATGCTATGACCTGCATTTTAAATCTTTTTCTATTATTTTTGGTTGAAACATTGATAATAAAATTAATGAGAAAAAGATTTATTAAAGAATAGATTTCAAAATATAAAAGAACAATTCTAAATT